TAAGAGCGCAGAGTGCTTTCCACTTGGATTATCTCACCCACCCTGCTTCTGATGTGCACCTGTTCTTCTGACATCCCCATTTCTATTCAGAGAACCCCCATGCTTGTTATTACCAGGCTCTGAGCCCCAGTTGCTGGTGCTTGGTCAGGAGTGCCTTGTTCCCGTGCCACCCACCCTCTTGCCTAGTCTCTCGTCCCTCCGCCCACAGCGTCGTTACCGCCCTGCAGACCCTTCTAGCCTCCCCTCTGGACTAAGAGCACGAACGGTAATCATGAATTTCCTCTTTACTGCACCCTGTTCAGGCACATCACCCATTTAATTTCTCCCATTTAATATCACAATAGCTCTGTGATGGATGTACTATGATTATCCCCATTTCACAGAAGACGAAACTGAGACGCAGAAAAATTTAGCCACCTGCCCGAGTAACAGAGCTGGCAAGTGCCCATGGTGGGTTGGGCCAGGCCGTCTGCTTCTCCCAGTATTTCTGGGGCCTGTCTGCACACCCCATGCCTCCCTTGTCCTCCTGTCCAAAGCCCCTACTCCCCTCATTGCATCCTCTGTGAAATATCACCAAAGCAACACCACTGCATGCTTACCTCTTACTGCTGCGTGTAAGATGTATTTTTAAAACTTCCTTACCTGTTTTGAACCATCTTCTCATGATGAGTCTTTGTCTTAAACCCTTATCTAGACACTGTAAACTCTCTGAGAGCAGGGATCAGATCTTATAGCAGTTCTGTTTCTTATTTTGACCCCAGCAGTCACATATTCTACCAAAAATATTCGATTGAACCAAAGAGTAAAATCATGAGAGTTTTCATTGAGTGCTTACCAAATACTAAATACTGGGCAGCAGCTTCACACGCACTGTTTCATTAATCCTCACCATAAACCTGTGGAGCAGGGGTGCCTGGGTGGCTCAGTCGGTTAAGCATCCGACTTCGGCTCAGGTCATGATCTCGAGGTTGTGAGTTCGAGCCTCACGTCGGGTTCTGTGCTGCCAGCCCAGAGCCTGGATCCTGTTTCAGATTATGTGTCTCCCTCTCTCTCTGCCCCTCCCTTGCTCATACTCTGTGTCTCTCTGTCTCAAAAGTAAATAAACATTAAAAAAAAAACAAACAAACCCGTGGAGTAGATGCTTTGTGGTCTCCCAGTTTTTAATGGAGAAGGAGACTGAAAGCCCGGAGAGGTTAGGCATCTTGTCCAGCATCACGCAGCTGGTAAGTGTCACAGCTTGGGCTCAAGCTCAGGTGTGACACAGCCCACGTCGATGCTCACTAGGAACCCCAAGTCGTGCTGTGTTGTGAGTGACGCTCTGAAGGTGCAGAGAGCACAGCTGGGTATGTGGGACCTACAGCCAGAATGACAGCTGAGAATGGAAAGGCCGTTTCCCCCAAGATGCGTCTGTCTGCTGCTCCCAGGTATCAAACACCGAAGCACGGAGCACAACTCCAGCCTGATGGTGTCCGAGTCTGAGTTTGACAGTGGTCGGGACACAATCTTCAGCTGAGAACGGATGGAGAGAGGGGATCCAAAAGGTTCTATGAATGGTTCCGTCAGAAACGGGGCTTCCTTCAGCTATGGCTCCGAGGACAGATGACGGAGCGGTTGTAAACCCGAAGGCCCCGCACAGGAACGCTGTAATCCAGGACCAGTCAGTGGGAGTTCAAACACAGAACTAACTCTTGTTAGAATTGTGCATCAGTGTCCTTTCACACTGGGCTGGATGTGTGCCCCTAAATTTAAAAGATTGGTTTTCTTGGGGTGTTTGAGACATGAAACAAAACAGAAACATTGCTCTTTTAACAAAGATGCTTGTTAATAGGGGTAAAGGTTGGGTAAGATACTAGGTATATACTTAAAAGAGTTTGTGTTTTGTAGCTGGCACAGTATTTATATTACCCATGTTAAAAATTAACACCTGTTTCTATCTGCAGACCCTTAGGTAAAGTTAAACACGAATTAAAGAGGGCTGATTTCTCTTAGGAGCTGTGATGGCCTTTCAGGACGACGTTCGGAACATGCTTTCTCTGGTAGGACCCATACAGTCAGATGGCTGTCTATATTAAAGTGGTTCCTCTGAGATGTGGGTTGTCTTTTATGTAGCAAGCTTTCTGTGTTCTCTGTGGACAGCAGGTCCTAGAAATCTGTGAGCTAAGTAAGAATCATATTATGAGGTCCAGAGGAGATAGAAAGGGGAGTGGGGAGAAATGACCAGTAGGTTGAAAGTTGAAGGTAGCATGTTAACATTCCTGGCCTTTTCTTTCTCCTAGAAAAACAAACAACACTGAAGCTTCTCTTAGCCCCAGTTTCCATTAAACATGATAAAAGTGTTGATTAACTCATGGAACATTTGTTGAGTGTGTACATAGGCCATGCATTTGGAGGGCCATAGTGGTAATGACTCAGCAACTTTGTGTATATTCCCAAACTCTGAAATACAGTCAGTCTTAATTAGGATGGTATGGCTATGATAATTGGCCCCTACAGATACTTTCCATAATAATGGATTGATATAGACATTCGCTTCATATGTTTAAAAAATGTATTTATGTCTACAAAGTATATTTAGAAAAAGTGGTTTATTTTTTCTACCAAATAAATCTTTTAAAATATATGGGGAAAAAAAAACCTCAAGCCATCCCCAACTGCAGAGCATCCCAGGGCAGTGAACTAGAGTGAAGCTGGTTGGTTCGTGCTTGTTCTCCATCCATAGTCTTGAGGCTGGTGCCCTTGGCATTCTTTGGGAAGATTAGAAGAGAGGTGAGATCCATCACAGCACAGAGCACCAATGTCATGGCCTTGGGTGTGAATGCACGCACCTAAATAATATCCTGATGTACAAGTTTCTGTAAAACTATGATTAAACCACCAGGTTTAAGCCATCAGGGTGGCAACAAGTGAGAAAAGGTCCCATGGGTCTTTGAAACAAATTTAAGCTTTCAAGATGCTTTTGTTTTCTCTGGTAATAGTCATCCTCATGAGATCATCTTGTTTTTAATTACTGTATTTTATGGGGAACGGCACAACTAAAAAGTTTAAGACTATAATTTTATTTGAAAAAATAATTTCTTTGCCTTATGCTTCCACTTTGTGTTACTAGCCACACCCTGTGATGTCGGAAGGAAGCTGTGATGTTTTTTACACCCATCTTTATCTTCGTTAATGTGTGCCATAACCTCGTGAACAGAGTTGCATAATTTTGTGCACGACCAGAAATTTCTGGCACCGGGGAATGAAGCCCAAATAGGAGGTGGGGGGAGAGGGCAGGGGTGAAAAAGGAAGCGCACATTTGCTAAAACCTTTGTGTGCATAATGCGTGTGTTGTGTACTCCCAACCGGTCCTGACTGACAGTCCACCTTGGAAGGACCACAGCCCCAAAGTGGTAGATCGGGAACTGAATGTGAAAATTTTAAGCTGTAAAGCCCATCTTTCCTCCCACCTCCCTCACTACCCAAAGACCTCCCACCCTCAACTGTTAGGAGGGCAATTTTCAGTGGCCTTTTCGGACCATCTGTTCCTGGGATGCAAAGGAATTCCTTCGGGTGGTAAGGACACAAGACGCCTCCTTCGTCTCTCGCCTTGGGTCGGTCACACCTGCGCCACGGCTCTGGGTTTCAAAGTTGCTTCCGCCGCCCCTGGTCTGTGCCTGACCTCCTCTGCCTCCCTTCCACCACGGGGGACCCTGACGGCAGGTGCATCGGAGGCCCGGCAGGGCGGCGTTCGGGGCGCGGGAGCGCTGCGCGTCCCCAGTGGAGGGAATGCTCCCCGGCAGCTGCGATGGAGAAGCCGGCCAGCGAGACCCTCAACGCTGGCTTCCAGTCCGTGGAGGAGGACCTGAGCTCCGCATTACGGGGCCAATGGTGTCTGTGACCGAAGAAGGCGGAGAGCGGTCTCCGGAGCCCGCCCCAACTTCACACACCCACTCCCAGGCCCTTCGCGGAACAATGCGCGCAGCCGCAGACACCCCCCGCGGGAGGAACTGCGCAAGCTCAGCTCTGCCCCCGCCCCCGCTGTGAGTTCCCCGGGGCACCCTGCGCGGGGGGAGGGGGGGCGGCTGGTCCCTCGTGAGCCTGCAAAGAGCTCCCTGCCGGTTCTCGGGGCGCTGGAGGGCCCGTCCCGCAGGGGGCCCTCTCGTCCTGCGCGAGGCCCTCACTTCTGCCCCGACGTTAACGGCCGAGCGCTCCCTGCCGGAGGAGGCCTGCAGCTGGCGAAGGTGTGCGGACCGAAGCCTTAGTCCCCAACCCGGTTTCTCCCCACCGCGGAACCCGCGTGTTTTCTGTGTACCCCGACTGTGTACCTCCCGCGTGGTCGCGTTCCCAGCTGTGAACTCTGGAACGGTGGCGTGTCACCTGTCGGTTCCCTAAAGCCTCACAGCCGTGCCTGCCTGTTACATGGGCTGCTTATGAGCGAGCCAGCCACTGGGTTGGGGTAAAAGTCTTGGCATCAAAGCTTCGTTGACTTAAATGGTACGTGAGGTATAGCGGACTCATAATAACTGCAAACACGTAGTACAACTTGGTAAGTGTTGGTGTGTGTACAACCGGGAAAACGTCACCACGGTTGAGATGAAATTTTCTCTGACTCTTGGTAACCTCTCCCTCCCCAGGCAAGCCGATCCACTGTCACTACAGATTGGCTGGAATATCCGAGAGTTTCATATAAATGGGATCGTATAATATACATCCACTTTTGGAGCTTTTTATCCGTCACGTTTCCTCCTTTCCAAGCCATTTAAATGAATCCATTAGCAACTTGGACCAGGAAAATGCTGAAGTAAAGAGCCCTGTAATGGGGATGGGACTACTGTGGTTACCTAAACTAGGTTCAGGGCTCCAAGGTCGCCCTCGGTCCTGCGAGAGCTCTGTATTCATTCACTGAGAGACCCAAACTGCCCTTTGCGTCCAATCTTTATAATCTCAACAGTGATGAGTTTCCACTATTGCAAATACATTCAAAACAAAATAAAAAATCTCTAAGTCTGAGCCCACCTGAAACTTAGCATGAACTCTTACTTTAAAGCTTTCCCAAAGCAGAAGTGTTTTCCTTTTGATCTTGGGGGAAATTGAAATGTTTCCTGGCATCTAGAGAGAGAGCTGTAGTCCAAAGACTTCCCTGAAAAACTGGTCATTCCAAAGGGTTGCAGGCAGGGCCTGGCAGTGCTCCATTTCTTTCTCTGGTGCCCAGTCACAAGGTGTCCCCATTTGTGAAGATTCAGCAAGTTCACTTACATACGCTTTTCTTTGCATGCACGTTACACTTGAATGAAAATTTAACAAGAAACCTGGCCAAGTGACTGTACTTTCAAAGCCAGCTAAGTATAAAGAGATAGGAGGAGGGATTTCCTTGGTGGGGGTGAAATAGCTCCGTATCTTGATCGTGGCAGTGACTGCACAAACCTACCTGCTGATGTGCTTAAGTTGGATTCCACACATCTAAACATACATGAAAACTGGGCAAACTGGCAGAAGGACTGACTTAATAGTATGATACTAATTAATGTCAGTTTCCTGCTGTTGGTTCTGTAAGCAGTAGCCTCTGGGGGGAAATGGGTGCAAGTTACAGAGGAATCTGTTCTTTTTGCAGCCTCTTGTGAATTTGTAATTATTTCAGAATAAAGGGTGGAAAGATGTTGAGAGGAAACAGATTCATGATTAACAGGGAAATGCTAAAAGCTTTTCCGTTAATGTCAGGAACAGGTTAAACAAAAATGCAAAGCCAGCTTGTCTCCAGCTAAACAGAGTCTCCCTTTTTGATACGAGTTTAGTAAATGGACAAATTTCCTGTATTTGAAGCCTACTTAGTATTATCACCTCTGTCCTGAAGGTGATGAGCCCAGAGTTGAAGGCCTGAGTCCTTAGCACAACAGAGAGAAAGCTCAGTCTTCCCTAATCTGACCAAGTACCTGCAAAAACATCCGTGTCCTAGGACACTGGGACAGAGGACTGTCTGTGGCCTAACCTGTGGCGATACCATTCTCGTTAGCTGATAAAAATAGATAAACTTGCAGACTGCTGATTTCCAAACCCATTTCCATTCATTTATAAATAACACGTGCAAATAGAATATGTTGGTTAGCTTTTCCATGCTCTCAGAATAAGTAGGACCTGCTGTTTTTCCAGAGAGTTTCCCAGACCTCATAAATGAAGACCACACTAATTTGCTGTTTAATTTGTTGCAGGCTAAATTAGAAACAAAGCTGTAGCAGGTGAACATTTACTGAAAGAATGGAAGAAAAGGTAGGAAGATGGAAAATAACGCTTCTAAGTACTGGCCTAGGCCGAGCACATAAAAACCCCACAAATTAAGAGGTAAGTGGAGAGTTTTCTGCTGGTAATGAAGTAATTTTAAAAATCAAAATGAAGAACAGCTTCAGTGGAAAACTATGCATTGTCTATTCACAGCGAAGGGTTATTTCCTGGGTTATCTGGTTCTCACACTCATTGCCCTGGAGGCATTTTCTGACTTTAACATTGTAGAGAAGAAAGATGCCAAATGCAAATGCAAATGCAAATTCTGTGGGTCCTAGAATTTGACTGATTTCCCTCCTACACAGTGTTTCCACTTTCTCGTCCGTTTCAGTGTTGTGCATCCATACAAGTTTGGGGAGCTTTTGGCTTCTCCTTTCCACTGGTTATAATACCCTTACCAGGTTCCTCATTAATGAGTTAAATACAATACTACAATATGTTCATTTTTTTTTAAGTTTATTTACTTATTTTGAGAGAGAGCAGAGGAGGGCAAAGAGAGAAAGAATCCCCAGCAGGCTCCATGCTGTCAGCACAGAGCCCAGTGTGGGGCCCTAACCCACAAACTGTCAGATCATGACCTGAGCCAAAATCAGGAGTCCAATGCTTAACTGACTGAGCCACCCAGGCGCCCTGCCCCCCATGTTCATTTTTTTTAAAAATCAAAGAAGGTGATGGGGCGCCTGGGTGGCTCAGTTGGTTAAGCATCCGACTTCGGCTCAGGTCATGATCTCATGGTCTGTGAGATCAAGCCCCGCGTCGGGTTCTGCGCTGACAGCTCAGAGCCTGGAGCCTGCTTTGGGTCCTGTGTCTCCCTCTCTCTTTGTTCCTCCCCTGTTCATGCTCTGCCTCTCTCTCAAAAATAAATAAGCATTAAAAAAATCAAATCAGGTGAAAAGAAATGCATGAGATCAATGGAATGACAAAGAGAGGTATCCAGTGGCACTGCTCTTTCTTCTAATGAAAAATCTACCTTTGTTCAATGTCACATTCGGCAAGGTCACATGAAATTTCTTAAAATATAAACGAACCGTGGGCGAAAATATACATTGTTAAAATAATTAACAGTGATTATATCTGAAGAGCAGAGTTTCAGGGAATTTCTTCCCCATACCTTTCAGTATCGGAAAAACCCAAACTTGGGAAAAAGTACATAATGGATTAACAGGAAGAGCAGAAGAGTGAGGCTGGCAAATGTGGAAAGCTGGAGAATATGCTGTTACGTGGCCACATTTACAAACCAGGTATGTTTTCCGTTCAGTTTGGCAAACATCTAATGAGGCCAGATCACAGGACAGAGGCCGGGATACAAAATGTCACCTGCAGGCTCCTGGCCCGAGGCATTCACAGACCACAGGTCTCCAGGGAGGGAGCTCTATTTACCCATGCAGGAGGGGAAAAATAACTTTCCCTCTACTTTCTGTGTTCTTGGCTGAGCCCCCTGCCCTGAAATCTACAGGAACAAGGGAGAAGCACACAGAAGTTGATGAACAGGCATGCCTCATGCAAACGTGGGAGACACGGGGGAGAATGAGGAACAGAGAGGTGGCTCAACCCTTTGGCTTACAGAGCACCTTCAACAAAGAACGATCAATGTGCAGAGAATTGGCAGGACAGAGGGAAGCAGTCGTAGGCTTTCAAGGCCAGTTGGGAGATAAAGGCCAGTTGGGAAAATCTGTTCTATAGATTCCTTTGGTGCCCTCTCCAGGCTGACCGGGTCTTGAGTCGTCTCCGGAGACCAACCTCAGTCCTTCCTAGAGGATGGGGCACCTTTGAAAACTTAGGTCCGGCTTTTAAGAAAATAGGGGGAAGGCAGAGAGCTTTTCTGGCATCTGCTTCTCCAGGGCATCTTCAGCTCACAATCATCTTTATGCCAAAGCAGCAGGCTTGGGATGGTGTAGTCTGCTAAGCGTCTTCATACATATCTGAACTGGTCTAATAATATCCAATGTAAACTGAAAACGAACCAGCAAGGAAAAAAAAAACCACCACCACCAGAGACCCTAACGCAGAAACAGGAAATTCTGTTAATGCAACATTTATTAATTAAACATACACACATATGGCACACACACACACACACAAATCACCACATAGCTATTATTCAAGTAAAATGCTATCTCACATAGCTGCACATGAATAATTAAAATCCCGGCTCCAGCCTTCTGAGAAGGCAGTCACATGCCACAATCGAAAGTTAGTAAGTTACCAATAAAATAGATTTCTTTGCATTGTGCTTCTGATCTCTCTTCACGGAGTCTTTCCATGAGAATAAGGGAAAAAAAGACACAACACGTGGCCCAAAATCGTGTTTGAAAGCCACTCAAAGGGGTAAATACAACAGATGAAGATAGGCCGTTGCAATGAGAATCCTTGCCTAGCTGGGGAAAGGAAACTGAGGAGTTTTCTCTAGGCCGCCAGACTTGTGTTATCTGGATAATTTCACCTGAGTCACGCGATAATTGCTGGCAAATTCTTGGTGAGAACTCGTTGGAGCAATGCCCAGAAAAGTGCTTCTTACACACGTGTTCAATAAAATAAGAGAATGCCTGGTAAACACAGGAAGATCAGTCTCTCCCTCAGGCTCAGGATCTCTAGATCAGGGGACGGCCAACGTGTTCTGTAAAGAGTCGGAGTAAATGACGTAGGCTTTGCAGGCCACACTGGCTGTGGCGCCAGTATTCAGCTCTGCTCACAAAGTGGCCGTGGATCCGATGTGAAATGAATGGGCGTGGCTGTGTTTCAATAGAGTTTTATGGATGGAATCGAAAATCTGAATCTCCACATGATTTTGTGTCGTGAAATACTATCCTTTTGATCCCCCCCCCCTGCCCCCCAGTCACTTGGAAATACAAACACCATCCTCAGCTCCGGGTTGTACAGAAACAGGTGGCAGGCCACATTTGGCTTGTGAGCTGTAGTTGGCCAACTCCTGGCCACACAGGCTCATGTTATTGAAAAACAAACCCTGAAAGACACTTTTCTTTCTTCCCACAACCCGGAACAATTTTACTAAACAGCAACCTATTTCCTTCCCAAATTATTTTAATTACAAAATTAATCAAAGATATCGCAATGAGTCTCTGAACCTGAATTTATGTACCCGGTGAGCCAAATATACAAGAAAACTCCGATCTGCCACCCAGCCAAGAGATCCACTGGTTTTGCAAAGTGACGCATGTAACTTTGAGCGTATTCTCTCAACACCTCCAACCATCCGTGTTCCTGACTTCTAACAAATAACATTATAGGAATTTTATTAACAGAAAACAGATGGACACGCCCAAATCCTAATTAGAATGTTATATAAAACAAGCCCCAAATTAGAAAAACAAAAGGTAGAAATAAGCTGTCAATATGCTGTGTATGTGACTCTTGACAGGGCCTGGGGAGGCATGTCACCAGGAGGCAGATTTCTGGTCCTTCCTCCTGTGGGTATCGGGATGTGGCTAGAGTGAGGCAGGCTAAGTCAAGGGAGCTCCAGCACCGGCTCTAAGTTCCTCCGTCCCCATGGGCATTCTGGACCGCTAGTGACTTACCCAAGGCTCCCCCGTGGCGGAGGGACAAATGCTAAGTCACAGGGTGGAAATGGGGGGAGGGGTAGGAACTACTTTTTCCTTCCACTACCCAGAATACCCACAGAGTGTCAGTGGATTCTGCACACAGAGAGTAGGAAGGGAAAGAGCTTCCTCTCTGCCTGTACAGCCAGGAACAGCCTTTATTCCTTTTCCTCAGTGTATCCATATGCATGGGAGACGTGTCCAGAAAGACCTAGAATTTTCTTAATCAGAGCTCCTCTTTCCAAGTGAAAGGAGACACAGCATCATTTTTGTTGCAAATGATGAGCTGTAAAAACTTACTGGAGAAGACGTGCCTGAATTTCAAGGCCTCACACCTCTTCCATTAGGCGGACTGGCAATTATGGAAATTCATTTTCCTCTCGGGATCACTGTGGGGAGGCTGCTTGCTCTTGGGGGTGAGGACGGGAAGGGCAGGCTGCAGGCGACAGCTGCTCAGTCTTGGGTAGGAGTGCAGGCGGGCCCCAGCCTTCCTCACCTTGCAAAGCCACACCTGGATTGGGGGGCAGGGAGGGGTTCTGCTGCTACTAAGAATAATGGCCCCTTTACTGGCACCGAATTTTTTTCTTTCTTTTTTTGCAAACATTTCTGTTTCTGTTGGCCTCGCAATCTCCCATTGAACTAAGCAAGCCACATACAGCATCTCTCCTCTGCATGAGGGACGGACTGCCGAATGGCGCATCTATGGGAACTAAGCTCCCCCCCACCCCCCAAGGGCTGCCGGGCCACGCCTTTGTGCCTTCCCTTCTCCCAGCTGCCTCTGCTGCTCTCTGCTTTCTGCCTAGGCTGACTTCCTCAAGGAGACAAAATGAAATGGAAAGCAGGATGGAGATGAGAGCATGATCTTTAAGTAGTAAATTTAGGATGATGAAGCTTTAACTGAAACGGTCCCGGGGCGCCTGGCCGGCTCAGTCAGTGGAGCACGTGACTCTTGATCTTGGGGTCGTGAGTTTGAGCCCCATGCTGGGTGTAGAGATTACTGAAAAATAAGCTTAAGAAAAAAGGTCCAGAAAAAAAGAGTCCCTCACAGAAACACAGGAGATTCTGTGCTACTTCGAAGTCTTAAAAATGATCAATTCAGTCTCCGTGGCAACATTTAGGAATACACGGCACGGGCGCGTAGAGCTGAGCCAGGAGATTGACAGGAACGGTGGGCCCACCTCTGCCTGGCCTGTCCTCATGCTCAGGGGTCTTCCGGGCAGCCCCCTCTGGTGTGAGCTCAGAGCCACAGGGGAGATGGCAGGGTCACGGCCCAGGCAGTGATGAGCCTCTGGGACGGGACACCCAGCTCTTGGTGGAGTCCCAGGGCTTCACTCTATACACGCAGTGCTGGTTCTTGGGGAGTCTGCGCCCCAGACGTGTGGCATCTGCTGGTCCCTCATTAGGTAAGGGGAGGGGTGGGGCTCACCTGTGCTTAAGATCATGAGTATTGGAGGAGTTTGAAAAATCCCTAATTCCACTAACCTAGGAGTTCACCTAGAATAATGGATGGCATGTCCCCGTATGTGCACGTCAGCTTCCTTTTTTTATTTTTCAAAGCACTGACGAGTCCTACAAGCCCCCGAAGCACACGTATTTGAGCTCTAGGTACTCGTCGATGCCGTACTTGGACCCCTCTCTCCCGAGGCCAGACTGCTTCACCCCGCCGAAAGGACACTCCACAGAGGAGATCAGTCCCTCGTTCACGCCCACCATGCCCACTTCCAGCCGCTCTGCCACTCTCCAGATCTGGGCTGGGTCTTGAGAGTAAAAATAACCTGTCAGGGGAAGAAAGGGCACACGCGGCTTATACAGTCGTTACAGACGTCGCGTCTAAAGCAGAGGATGCCACAGGCGACCTCTGTCTAGTCCTTTTCAGCGTTTCCTTTCATCACGCCCATCACCACCACCCTTTCCGAACTGAACCCCCGTGGCCCCCGGGCCCAGAATCTCTCTCCTCCCATCTCTGCCTAACACGGATGGCCTAGTGCAGGCTGCGGCCTCCTCTCCCCGCATCCTGTCGGGAAGGGACGGAAGGCGCGCCGGGTGCAGTGTCACCGAGGCACTCGGGCACACGTCCTACTGCAGCCTCGTGACAGGTCTGCACAGACAGCTGGGGGAAGGGCCTCCCCAGTGTGTGTGGCCTTCCTCCGGTTCCACGTACTTCGCTCATCCCCGGAGGGGAAGCTGCTACCGAGCAACCGTGTATCTATGTCTTTGTATCTTCCTCAGCGTGCTCCCCTCACTGCGGATGCTAAATGCAGATTTGCCAGTGCATTTATGTGCATACGCTGGTGTCCGGGCAGTGGGATATGTCCCGTGGCCACCCTGACCATCTCCGAACTAAAAGGACGGTGGCCACTCAGGCTCCGTCTGCACGCACAGTCATTGCTACTTTCAGGGTCCCTGCGGTTCCCCTCGGTCTGGCTCAGGCCGCCAGGAGTCAGGCGGAATGGAAGAAAAAGACGTGGACTTCCAGGCATCAAGCCTCTGAGAACGTGGGAATTTGGGGGTGTGCGCTTCTCCACCCACAAGCTGCCCCCCAGCTCTCACCAGGAGCTCCCAAATGTGGGAAGGACCAGACAGGAGGCCGTGACCTTGCACAGACCCGCTCGTGCCCCCGAAAAGCAGCAGAACACACGCTACAATGGCATTTCTGACTCAAAACCCAGGGGGATGTTTAAAAGGCAAACGCGAGCATCGGTTCCAGGAGTGGTTCTGATTCCCGCGGAGCCGGGAGCGCCTACCTGCCAGCCCGACGTCAGCTGCGTTAGCGATCGCCACAGCCTCCTCCTCTGTGTCGAACCTGCCAGAGTTAAAGGGGTTGTCAGCAAAATCTGTAGGGGAGAGGGCAAAGAAAACCGGCTCTCTGGTCTCCTGACTTGTTTCCCGAATAATGGCACGGGGTAAGTCGGGAGATCTGCAGAGACCCCAGGGCCGAGCACAGAAGCAAAGAGCCCCGCTGCTCAACACACACGGTTCCTCTCTGGCGAGAACGAGAGGCAAGCAGGCTGGCCATAGGGAACAGCGGCGACTTGGAACGTCAAACCAAATGCCTTCAAAAAGGATCACTGCTCTTGCTGCCTACCGAGACTTTGTAACAATCAGCAACCACTTTAGAAGCAAGCTGTCCCCAGGAAGCCAGGGGGGCCAGGGCTCTGCATGCGTGCGCTCCTCCCTGAGATGAACAGCAGAGAAACCAAAGCCCCTTGCGGCCCCTTCCAGCTTTATCCCTTTCTTTCCAGAACAAGATTTGAGAAGCATTCTTCCGGGGCAAAGGGCTCTGAGCACCCCAGTTCTTAAATTCAGAGATCTGCCAGCAGCAGGAGCCAGCCATCTCTCTGGAGGAGATGGAGAAGGATAACAAACAGAATGATCTACAAGCCAGGAGGCAGCAACAGTGGGACAGAAAAAGATGTAGGAAACGGATAAGCATCCACAGCAAAACAAGGGAGAATGAGGAAGTGGGGAGACTCTATTATGGGGAAGAACAAAGAAATGGAGATAGCATGGATGACAGTAACTGAAGGAACACGGTGGGTGGGCTGGGTGGCACAGTGTATGTATCTCAGGAATGAATGGCTCAGCGGGCAGGTGGCAGGGAGGGGATGTCCCAGAAGGTGTCGGGAACGGATGAGGAGGTACGATGAACAGAGCGAAGAGGAGCGGCGTGACACGGACGTGTCCCTATCACAGACCTCCTAGAGGCCGTTACGGAACGAATGGAGGGGAGAGAAAAACCTGCTGGAGAAACAGTGACCAGCAATTTCCCGGGACCAGACACACACCTTAGATATTCAAGGAAGACATTAGGACCGCAGCGTGAAGACGCTCACGACGTGCCTCACCGGTAGAACTTAACGTCAGAGACCATGAGAAATCTTCATAGTCTCCAAAAAAAAACTAGATCCTTTTCAAAGAAACAAGAACCAGACACCAACTTTCCCAGTAACGACTCCAGAAATAAGGAGACAGAGAGATAATACAGCATTGAACCTAGAAGTTTATCCAGGTTGATTATTACTGACTTTTGAACGTGAGACAAAACATCACCTAAGAGCGCAGCAAGTGCATTTCCCTAACTCCCTCGAAAGACCTCTTTGAGGATGTGCTCCGAGGAGAAGAAAAATGATTTCAGCAGAAAACACAAAAGTCAGGAGGCAAAGTAAAGAAGCTGCTGAATTCTGTGCTCTGCATAGGCAATGATAAAAACAAATTATTTTAGAACCATGAATGGGAGTTGTTCTTCTGCTGACACTACACAGCCCTGCCTCTGCAGCCCCCTGTCCCAGCCCCAGGGCCTTGAAACGGCACTCGAACCGCGTTCCTTTCTTGGTGTCCTCCTTCCCCAATCCACCCGCTGGGTGGTCTTACTTGATAACTGGTGCCAGAGGCCCAAACGTCTCTTCGTGAGAGCAGAGCATGTCCCTGGTGACATTGCTGAGCAGTGTGGGCTCAAAGAAATTTTTTCCAAGTTGGTGTCGCTTCCCGCCTGTCACAACAGTGGCGCCTTTGGACACTGCGTCATTCACGTGCTTCTCTACCTGCGTGAAGAGAAGAGGAGGAGCCCGGGACAGCGGGCTTGAAGATACGCTGGAGAGGATACAATCTCTTAGAATGTTAAATCTGCAGAAAACTATGCTTTTCTTCATTTCTTTTCCTTAAAAAAACAGGTTGAGAACGAGGTGCCCTCATGCCTTCTAGGTAGAAAGAACCAAATATGTGGAGACGCAGAGGCAGGAGGAGGGCATGTGGCAGGTGCAATGCCGCCTTCCCCTGCTCTTTGTTTTTCCGCTGTTCCATTCGACCATTTGTTGAAGGGTCTGGTATGACCTGATGTCCTTCTGGGCCCGGCACCCTGAAGTTGCCCTGACATTTGTTCTTTGCACTGTTTTTTGTTTTTAACTTTCTTTTGAGAAAAAGAGAGCGAGGGATGGCAGAGAGAGAGAGAGAGAGAGAGAGTGACTGACTCCCAAGCAGGGTCTGCACTGTCAGCACAGAGCCCAACCTAAGGCTCATGAGGTTATGACCTGAGCCAAAACCAAGACGCGGATGCTTAACTCACTGAGCCCCCCAGGCGCCTCTGTTCTCACACTCTTGAGTTGGCTCCAGGTTCTTGGGTGCCATGCTGTCCTCTTCACTTTCACTTTGTTCTAATGCATTCTTCTCAAGTGGTCATTTTGAAAAAGGTGCACTGAAAATGGTGTGCTTCCTGAGTTTCCTGACACTGCGTGTCTCATGGTTTTGTTTTTGTTTCGTTTTTTTTTAGGAGGGTGCAAAAAAGGTAGTTTTTGAAAGCACGGGGACAGGACCCATGGGCAGGAAGAGCTGCCTGCCATGTCTGATGTTTTTACCTTGTGTTGGTTGGTGGTCAAATTGTCATCCAGTTTTCCTTCAGAACGCTAAGTACACGTCTCTATTTCTAGTGTTGTTGAAACGTGCTTCCAAAATAGTTCTTGCCCCTTGGCAGGTAGCTTTCCCCCCCATCTCTGGAAGCTTTTAGGATCTTCTATGTTCCTGACACTCCACTGTTCTAGCAGAATGGATCTGGGCTTTCTGCTTTCCTTCCACTTGGCAGTTGGTAAACTCTTTCCATCTGAAGAATCATTTTCCCCTGGCTCTGAGTTTTCATTTCTCATTTTTTTGATAATGCTACGTCTTCCATGTCTGTTCTAGAGTTCCTGTAGCTAAAATGGATATGCCTCTCACCTCAGATTAAGTCTGATTTCTTTTCAAATTTGTCATATTTTTCATTTGTCTTTAAAAAAAAAACAACTTGTATTTATTAAGTAATCTCTACACCCAACATGGGGCTCAAACTCATGACCCCAAGATCAAGTCACATGCTCTACAGACTGAACCAGCCAGGTGCCCCTCATCTCTTTATCTTTTGCTTTAAATTCTCCTTGGTTCTGCCTTCCGTCTTCATGTACTGATGTTTTAAAAAAAAAAATTTGACCATCATGTGTTTAATTTCTGAAAACTCTCTTGTTCTCACTGCCTCCATTTTCACAGGACCTGCTTTTGTTTTGTAGATGCGCTATCTTCTCAGAAGCACACGGATGACGCTATGAGATCCTCAGAAAATTCCTTTCTGTTCCCAGACTCATCTGCTTCCTTGAGGGTCAGGTGTTCCTCTCATTGCTGAGGGTTTGCTCCAAACCCTGGCTGTTCACCTTCCTCGTGAAGGACTGGCTGGGTGACGTGGGTGGCCTTTACAGTTTCCGGTCTCTCCCCTGAACAAGGGGACAACGGCAAGCTCAGGTTTATTCTGACTTGGCAGGCTTCACGTTAGGGACACCCCTGTCCCCAGAGGGCAAAGGCACACCAACTGAGGTTGGAGCCGTAGCTCACCTCCTGCCCAGAGCAAATGCCTACACTCTCCTGGTGGTGGCTGCGAGGTGCAATGGTGTAGGGACGGCCCAGAAAACTGTACAAAATATAATTAGTTGGCACCATGTTTCCCCTGCTCCTATTCCTACCCTACCCACTTCTAGAAAGTTCCATCCTAAAAAATGGCACCCACTTCCCCTACAGGCTTCCCCTGGGAATGCTTTGTCTGCTTTGACTTTTGTATTAGCACCATCCATTCCTCCTTCCAGAAGTTCTCCACAACCTTTGGTCCCCGGAGACCTCCCAGGGGAGGACTCTTATTCTTGGCAGAATATTCCACGGGATTTCAGGAAAGGTAAATACTGGCTGGGGCACACTCCACCCTCCAGAACCGCCCTTTTTAATCCCTCGCCCCCTACCATGCTCTCAGAGTCCACTGTCTGCAACAAACCCCATTAGCCGTCATGGCTTACCTTCCACGATTTATAGCTCGAAAACTAATTATATTTAACAAGGGCCACCTCTTTGCCCCCAGAGAGAATATGGTCTGCCCTTTTCTGGTCATGTTAGATGTCATGTGCAGTGTCCCCCCCACCCAAATTTACCCTGTGACTGTGGGTATACTAAAGCAGGCACAATGGATTTTTGCAGACGAGAGGTTTTCTACTATACTCTGAAAAACATCCTTCACCTTCCTTGTTTGAAGTCCTGGGACACAGCGCCCTCTAGAGGCCAATGGTTGCACCTTCGCTTTGGCAGGAACACCAAAATCTCCAGAACAGTGGTCTCCCAGGCTGGCAAATTAAAAACAGTGGGGGCACTTGAAAAACTCTCAGTGCTGAGGCCCTACTCACACCCCGTCTCCTCAGGAAGGACTCTGGCATCTGCAGTTGTGAAAGGCACAGGGCGGGTTAAGAACCAGCACTCTGTCCCTCGAGCCACAGCTAGTTCAGACCCAAATTGTCTCCACTGGCAATCAAGGCACAGGGTCCAAAGTCACATCAAAAATGCAGGTGGTACCAACATACACTTTAATGCATGTTCTCTACTACGGCAATGCCAAGGCAATCACTAGACAGTTATCAGAGCTCTGTCAAACCTCAGTGCTTCCCCTGGCTCCCGCTGGGTGAGGCAACAGACGTGGGTCTTTGGGCCACCTCCTTTCTTCCCTGCACATCAATCTCCAGCCTCCATTTTCTGTCCAACTTAAATTATTCCATTAAAATCCTTTCTATTAATAGAGACTTATCTAAAGAGCATACTGGTGGGGCGCCTGGGTGGCGCAGTCGGTTGAGCGTCCGACTTCAGCCAGGTCACGATCTCGCGGTCCGGGAGTTCGAGCCCCGCGTCAGGCTCTGGGCTGATGGCTCAGAGCCTGGAGCCTGTTTCCGATTCTGTGTCTCCCTCTCTCTCTGCCCCTCCCCCGTTCATGCTCTGTCTCTCTCTGTCCCAAAAATAAATAAACGTTGAAAAAAAAATTAAAAAAAAAAAAAAAAAGAGCATACTGGATGTTCATATCACAAGAAAGTTCCTTGTAGGTAACTCTAAAAAGGATAAGGTTTTTGCCCCCTTATTTATTTAATTCCAGGGTCATTAACATACCACATTCTAGTAGTTTCTGGTATATAATACAGTGATTCAACAGTTCCAGACATCACCCAGTGTTTATCATGATCGGTGTACTCCTAAATCCCCATCACCTATTTCACCCACCTCTTTCCCCCTCTGGTGACCACCAGTGTGTTCTCTGTGGTTAAAAGTCTGATTTTTCTTGAGTCATTTCTTCTTTGTTTTTTTTTTTCTTAAATTCCACATATGGTTGAAATCTTATGGTATTTGTCTTTCTCTGACTTATTTCACTTCACATTATACCCTCTAGATCCATCCATGTTGTTGCAAATGGCAAGATTTCATTCTTTTTTTTTTTTTTTATGGCTGAGTAATGTGCCACTGTATATATGTAGTACATCTTCTTTATTTAAAAGGATTATGTTTTAAAACAGGAGATTATGTTTTAAAACACCAAGGGCAGAACTCTCGCCCGGCTAGTGATCTATCTAGACCGTGACTTTCTTTGAACAAACAGATCCTTCCTAAAAGCAGTCTCTCTCTCCTGGCATTTGTAAATACTGGGTGTGGCTTCTGTTCCTCTGCATCTCCCTACCAGATGCTTTTGTCAAGGATTCTTCTGAAGGGCATTTTGTTGTCAATGGAAGCCAGCATTTCAGCTGAAACACCCATGATTTCAAAAATAAAACCAGTCTTCCTTTCCTTTTAGCTGTTCAAAAATTTAAAGAACTTTGTCTTTCAAGATCCTAATTCCTGAGGCAGCCAGGGATAGAATGATCACCACTATCAGAGAAAATTTAGGGAGGGCAGTAGGAGATCTAAAGTAACAGAGCTCGGGGCGCCTGGGTGGCTCAGTCGGTTAAGCGTCCGCCATCAGATCAGGTCATAATCTCATGGTTCGAGTCTGAGCCCCATGTTGGGCTCTGTGCTGACAACTTGGATCCTGGAGCCTGCTTCGGATTCTGTGTCTCCCTCTCTCTCTGCCTCTCTCCAACATGTGCGTGCGTGTGTGCTCTCTCTCTCTCTCTCAAAAATAAACATTAAAAATAAAGTGATATCTCATGAGCACTCAGTGTAATGACAGAGCCAGAAAAGCTTATAAGCCAGATGATATCATTTATTTAATTCATGCAAATGGGCAGAAATTCACTTTTTTCTGATTTCTCCATTGTTTCCAAAACAGCCTTGCTGGGCACCTTACTAAAGTGTTTTTTTGCTAGTTAAAGCTCTTGACACTGAAACCATGAAATTTAACAGAAAAGCAAATGAACTTACCTTTTCTACCGCCTTTTCATCAATTAATGGGCCTTGAGTAGTTCTCTCCTCAAAGCCATTACCCACATGCAGGTTCATTTTAATTGCCTCGGCAAATTTCTTCACAAAAGAATCGTGGATACCCCTTTGCACCAAGAAACGGTTTGAGCAAACGCAAGTCTGGACAGAAAAAAAACCCAAACCAAATTCACAAGACCATTTGTCAGAAGCTACTGACCCAACCAATAAACATGTCACTGTTGCTATCAGATACTCAATGTGAAAACACTTCCCCAAGTGGCTCTTGTCCTGTGTCCAACCTGCCATATTCCTCCCCATGTGGTTGGGGCCCTGAAGATGAATGCACAAAGTGCTCATTGTTCTACAACCTCGTCCATAGCTGCCTCACCTTGAGGTTAAACAAGTAAGCAAGTACAAACATCTGCACAAAAAAGAGAAAGCCACCTGACTCAAGTTTTTTCCAAAGGGTTAAGTAAGCCATTATGAAACAAACAGGAAGAAAAAAGGAGCATAAAAAAACAGTAACTCCACGAGAGACAGTGATGCTGCGGTGACAGAGCAGGAGCAGGAAGGAAGGCAGTCAAAGACTGACTTCTATCTACTAGCTTATTAAACTAAGGGTTTGGCTGAATTTGACATTTTGAAAATGGCCGTTCTTCCACGTCAACCTAAATTATTGAAAAGACCTTTGTTTATTTTTTCCTAATTAGACCTAATATTTTAAAATTATAAAATACAACCACATTATAGGAATTGCAGTTATCACTGATAGATTTTCTTCCTGTATGTTTTTCTTAATCATGTATTTTTCTAGTAGAAACTATCTACTTATATATAGATAGATAATTTTGCATCCTGTGCATTTTTACTGGCTTAAATCAACATACCTCAAAGTTGTAGCTTTATAACTCTGAGCGTTACACATATTGGCATTTTATGTTTCTAAAACAAAACACAGGTATTTCGGAAACAACCAAGCTATTTAAGGTTATATGAAAGGGGAAAAATTAATTACCAAAGGTCAACACAAGGATGAAAACTATTTGATACAGAGTATTATACAAGATTTCACCTTTTTTCCCCCACAATATAATCTTTCAGGGAGTTTTTATTCTGTCTGTGGAATGCATTTAAAACCACTTATTGGGGCACCTGGGTGGCTCAGTCCGTTGAGCGTCTAACTCGATTTCAGCTCAGGTCATGATCTCATGGATCATGGTATCGAGCCCCAAGTTGGGCTCCATGCTGCCAACATGGAGTCTGCTTGGGATTCTCCCTCTTTCTCTCTGCCCCTCCCCTACTCACATGAGCTCTTGCAAAATAAATAAATAAACTTAAAAAAAAAATAAAACCACTTATTGATGGTACTCTGAGACAAAGTGCTTAAGGATATTTTGTAAGGAGCCAGGTTTCTGACAACAGCCTGGAGAGAAACCAGGAGACAGGCCCCTTGGTCCACAGTCCCAGCTCCTTAGCAGTACTGGCTGGCACCACGACCCAGGGACATAGGACTTCAAGTCAAACAGTCTCTCCAGAGTTTCGTTGCCTTATCTGTAAAATGCAGGGTTTGTATCAGGTCACTTTGAAGGTGCGTACCAGATGTGTTATTCCGAGATTTCCTTGGAGGTGTGAACTCGGGCCGCCACTCCGATGGCAACCTGGACACCCCCTGGGCACCTGTACCGTGTGCCTGTCAGGCCGCCTCCACCTCAGGGACAGTGAGACCCAGGCAGCAGGGTTTTGAGTTTTTCCAGAACCATCTCAACATTTTCCTACTTTCTTTTCCTTAAGACTGTGGGCCTCAGACCCCAGCTGTTCAGGCTGTTTTGTGTCTGAGGAGATGACTTTACCTGTGCAGCAGAGAAAAGCCCGGTGAGGGAAAACTGAAGATAATAACTAAGGTGAGGGAATAACTGACGAGTAGGAAGAGAACAGTTTGATTAAAAAAAAAAAATCTGTTCATGAAATTCCTCATTACACCTTATTTCCATTTGGACCCTCTGAGCCCGGAACAGTCACTGGCAAAAAGAGGGCCTTAAGAAATACGTGCTCAAAGAGTAAAGAAAGAATTACGGAAGGAACCTACAAGTTTCCTTCCAGGAGGTGAGCCAGGTGGTAAGATCTTTGTGAAACGCACACACACACACACACACACACCCTGAAAATCGCCGCAGGACTCACCTGTCCAGAGTTCCTAAATTTGGATGCCATGGCTCCCGCGACAGCCTGGTCCACATTGGCACTGTCGAAGACGATGAACGGGGCGTGGCCGCCCAGCTCCATGGAGACCCTCTTCACAGAGCCAGCTGCGTGGTGCAGCAGTATCTGCAACAGAGCACAGACTCCGTGAGCACCAGGCAGGAGCAGCTACCCAGCCACCTGCACTGGTAAGCCTCTGTTTCCCACAACTCCCCAGCAATGGAAAAGCCAGGCGCACAGTAGTGTACGTGGGATGATGGTCTGTATAAGAAAAGGAGGAAATGAGAACGTCTATTTCTAGGGGCACCTGGGCAGCTCAATTGGTTGAGTGTCTGACTCTTGGTTTCGGCACAGGCGAAACAGTTGCAGTTCATGGGATCGAGCCCTGCATCAGGCTCTGCACTGACAGTGCAGAACCTGATTGGGATTCTCTCTCTCTTGGGATTCTCTCCCTCTCTCTCTGCCCTTCTCCCGCTGGTGCTCACACATTCTTTCTCTCTCTCAAAAATAAGACAGAACACCTATCTCTATTTGATAAACAGTAGGAAGGTATCAAGAAACAAAGTATTTACTTATAGAAGGGAGGGAGTCAGGAGCAGGAGAGAGCCTTCTGAATGTGAGCGTGTTTACATCGTCTGGCTTCTTGAACCATCTAAGTGTATTACCTATTTAAAAATTATGTGGTGGGGCACCTGGGTGGCTCAGTAGGTTAAGTGTCCCACCTCGGGTCAGGTCATGATCTCACTGCTGATGAGTTTGAGCCCCGCATCGGGCTCTGTGCTTACAGCTCAGAGCCTGGAGCCTGTTTCAGATTCTGTGTCTCCCTCTCTCTGCCCCTCCCCCACTCACACTCTGTCTCTCGCTCTCTCTCAAAAATAAATAAATGTTAAAAGAAATAAAAAAAATTAAAAAAAATTACGGGACAATTGGCTTAATCATAATAGAGGGAAGATAATAAAATCTCCCAGAATCCCATAGCCCATAGCTTAGCACTGATAAAATTTTGAGGTATACTGATTCAGAATATGGTCCCACACACAAGTTCATATATATGTACTTCCTCTTTTTTTTTTTTTAAAGAAAACAATGGTAGATTTATACAGTTTTGTAAACTTTATCTTCCCAATTAACCACATATCTGGAACATCTTAACACTTTCATAGCACTTTATACCATATTCCTTTAGTGTAACACTATAATGTGAAGATTCTCTTATGTTAGTACATGTTTCTAGAACATTCTTTTTTTTTAATATTTATTTTTGGGAGAGCGCAAGCAGGGTTGGGGCAGAGAGAGAGGGCGACAGAGGATCTGAAGCAGGCTCTGGGCTGACCGCAGCGAGCCCGATGTGAGGCTCAAACTCACAAACTGAGATCATGATCTGACCTGAAGTCAGACGCTCAACTAAGCCACCCAGGCACCTCTAGAACATTCCTTTATTCCATCACATGGCTGTTTCATAAATTTATTTAGCCCCCATCTGTTGGAAATTTAGCTTCCTAATTCCTTGCTGTTAAGAATAACACTGCAATTATTCTCTCAGTATAAATTTGTAGAACGACGCACAACTGTAAAGCTTTTTAAGGAAATGAACAAAAAGGCCTTTCTATTTCTGTAAGGACCTTTGTAGTACCTACAATTTTTGTTCAATTCCAAGACCTCCATTCCAACATCAGTTGTATGTTTCTGGAAACTTTATTCCAGATCATGAAAGAAATGCGCATCTCACAACTGAGGAAACACAACGGATAGATTTCAGCCACTTCCTGGGCAACAAATCCTGAGAGCTCCAGCTGTGCCGACCCCTCGGTATGGTCAGAAGCCTGGGTCAGGTTCACAGTAAGGGACACTATCCAAAATGTGTCCAGAGGATGATCAGACATTACTTTATGCAACAAACCTTTCAACACTCTGCTGAGAATGTTCCTTAAGAGATTGATAACGATGAACTAGTATTCTCACAGTCTCCAAGGAAAATATGAGAACGACATCTGTTTTCTCTGACACGTAAGTCACGTACCTTTCCGGTAGCTGTTGAGCCAGTAAAGGAGATTTTGGACACCAGAGGGTCAGTACAAAGTGCTTCTCCTACTTCCTTGGCCTTCGCTCTGGAGCAGGGAATGACGTTGTACACGCCGGGAGGAATTGCAGCCTGGTCCGCGAGCTACAGAAACG